GCAAAAGCAGGCTTCCCCTTCCGGAGGCACAGCCTCCCCGTCGGCAGCTCGCAGATGTGCGCGGGGATCTGGGGCTGGTGACTCCATGGGGGTGGACTTTTTTGGTTTCGCAGAAAGGAAATGGTTTCCCCCTCATCCCACCCTGCCGTGCAGCCGAATGAGGTTGCAAGGTGGGATGTGCAGGGGGATGAACACAGGGTGGGTAACCTTGCCCCAGGCTTATGGCACCCCAGTCCTTCACCCATGGGACTGAGATGCAGAGAGACAGATGCACCCTCCACCTTCCCCTGCCGACACCGCAGCAAGGAGGGATGAGACGGAGCGATGGAGGTTTTACCCTGGAAACCAGACCACCCTTTCCTCACCCAAAGAGCCACCAGCCAAGTACGGGGACAGCACCAGCTCAGACAGGTGGCCTGGATGGAAAAGGCACCAGCCCTACTCGCCTAGAAGGGCTTAGCCCCGCTGGGGACTGTGGCAGTAGATCCGAGGACGAATACAGCAATTGCTAAGGTGCTTCCTCCAGATAAACATCCTCCGGTTTGCAACACCAAGGCTGAAAGTGCCCCAGCTACACACGTGCCCACCCAAGTCCCCACCGTACCCAGGAGCACCCTCTCCCTTTCCCAGTGGGACTCTCACTGCAGCCACACGTGGCACCAGCAGCTGTGACACCAGGACCCTCAGCTTCACCCCAGGCAGTGCCTGCCCGGGAGCACTCGCCCAGCACCTGGAGCTGGAGGCCTGATGGGAGAACCAGGAGAGGAGCAAATGTCCTCTGGTGGAGGGTGAACTGGCCCCCCCGTCCTTCCCCCAGCTCCGGCTCTCTCTGCTCCACGCAGTGCAGCCCCCCGGTTGGGAAAAGCCACCGCGCCACCTCATCCAGGGAGCAAAGTCACCCTAAATTCCCACCCTGTGCCCCCCACCCCTATTTCCAGGGCTGGTATCCCCCCCATTTGCCATGCCAGAAGGGGAAGCACACAGCTCCCCAGGCCACAGCGAGACCCCACGCAGAGTCCTGACAAAAGCTGAGACATGCCAGGCCGGGGGTGGGGGGGGAAAGACAGATCCACTGCGGATCAAATCATCCGCCATGAGAAACACTGCTTGGGGCAGGAGGAGGGGGCTGGGGGGGTCCTATTCCCATGGAAAGCACAGGGCTCTTTTTTCAGTTACACAAGATGAAACCACAGGGATATAAATGTCACTGCCTCTTTGAGAGCATTAATGAAAATAAACCCATTTAATAGTTTGCAGATGCCGTTTCTGTAAACCTAAAAAAAGCAGGGAATAAATATTTCTTCACTAAATATCTATATGTATATATATATTTGAAAACATTCACTCCTAATCTTAGGGCCCCTCCTTTGCCGTGCTCTTGGCAGTTTATCGCAGCCTGTCAGTCAACGCTGAAGCCTCACCGAGACGAGATACAAATTGTGCCGACAGAGGGGTAGCAGGGCGGAGGGATTATTGTAATCTAAGCTCCCTTTCGCCCTTCCTATTTGTACATTTCAATTACTTGTAACAAGATCCACGATGGATTTTTTTTTTTTCTGCATGTCTGTGTTTTGCAAATTTTTGTAAGGTTTTTGTAAAAACAACTCTTGTGAAATAATGGAGGAATAAATATTTTACTGAGTAGAGACGTGTCTGTGCACGTGATGGGGACGTGGCTCTCTCCTCACCAGCCACGGTGGTTTCCCCACCTGCCCTGGGCCAGCAGCATGGGCAGGGACAGCCCGCCCTGGGCGAGGGGGCAAGAGCCATGACCTGGCTGCCTTCACTTTGCGTGATGGTGGCATCTCACACCTTCTCCCCGAGACCTGGATTTCATCCCAGGCTCCCAAAGAGCAAGTGGCCCATGCGCCCCGGAAGAGGGGCAGGAGTACGGGGGGAGCGCATCAAAGCCCCGTGGGGCCGGGGGACGATGTTCCCGCAGAGGAGCTACTGGGCTTCACTCCGGCTTGGGGACCCTCGAGCTAATGCCTGGAGATGGTGGAAACTCAAGGGGCAGAGAAAACACCTTAACAAAGATCCCTGCATAACTGCTGATTGCATGGCCTTCCCAGATCCCTCTTACTTCATTTTGGGATAACAAGCGTGGGCTACTGAGGAACGGGTGTCAGGGAAGAAGGCTGGGTTTGCTTTTCCCCTTCCAAATTCCCCTGGAAGCAGTGGAGCTTACAGGGTTTGCCCTGGTCAGCTTGCAAATTCCCCACAGAGCAGCAGCTCACGTTAAAGCTGGCCCCAGCTCACACCCACAGCCTTGGGAGCGGCACCCACTTTTGCCCCCATCAGCAAGGGAATGGGCTGAGATGGGATGCGGCCAGGAGCAGGCAGCAGAGCCCTTGCTGCTAGGTTATGGGGTCAAATCCAACATTGTAAATGGGGGTGGAAACCTGCAAATACTAATTGATGCTCCACAGATGTCAGGGATGAGCATCTGTTACAGAAGTCCTGTCCTCCTGGGACGGGCGCTCATCAGTGGTCCCAGCAGAGACCACCAGAAAGTTATTGCACAGCCCTGGGAGCTGGAAACAGGCAATGTGGAAGTCTGGACCTGCTCCGAAAATTGGAGGCACTGAGGAAATAAGGAGATCGTCTCCTACACCATCGCTGCAGGCACATCCCGGCACTCGGTCAGATGCTGTTCTGTCGAGCGCACAGACTCGGTAAGGGCTGGGCAGCACAAGCACTTTGAATCCAAATGAGCACTAAATCCAGTTCTTCCAGGCTCCATTCTGTGCACCAAGGAGGGCATTAACCTGGTGAGCTGCAGGCTGGGCATGGATGGGGCACATGGGCAGAGAGCCAGGCTGCGGGGGTGAGAGGATGCAGGACCTGAAGGGCAGCCCAGCCTTGCTGGGGCTCAGCAGAGCCTTCCAGTTGAGCCAATTTGCAAGGAGCTGGGGTCAGTACGGGATGCTGTGAGCAGGATGGCTCCCAGGGAGAGCCCCTGCCCAGCCCACTGCAGGGGAGCTGGGCAGCATGTGGCTCCCTGGGGCTTTTCTCCTCCAGGTCTACAGAAATTGAGCTAAGAGGCAAGGAAGAAGAGTCAAGTTCTGCATGGACAACTAGCTAAAAGATATGAAACCAAAGGGTAGGAATAAACCATCAGCTCCTAGACTGAAAAGTGCTTCCCAGGGAGCAAAGGCCCACGGGTGCAGAGCATCCAAAAGCAGGGGAAGTGGTGGTCAGAGGCAGCCAAAGCCAAAAAGAGCTCCAGGAGCTCAGCCATAAAGCAGAAGAGGTAATGCAAGGCTGAGAGGTGCGAAGATGTACCCAGGGCAAACCGCCCAGCACACCCTCAGACTGAAGAGCAGCAAGTCAAGTGGCAGAAATTGCTAGGAAAGGATTAGAAAACAAGGCAGAAAGTGCCCTCACAGCTGTCGTAGAAACCCGCAGTGCAACCAAAGCCTGAAATCCATCACCTCAAGATACTGCGGAGATGAAAGTTATAAAGTGTATTCAGAGAGGGTTAGAGAGTTAATAGTGGGTGGGTCTGTGTCGGTGCAACGTGGCAGAGATTCAACTGCCTGTGCAGAAAACTGCTGATTTGCAGCAGTGGGGAGGGCTGGGTGGAGAAGGGACACCCTGGGCTCGCCTCGTTTCTTTTACCTGCCATGGTATAGCTTACAGGACACCTGTGTCACCTCCTCCTCCTCCCCAAGCCATCCCCGATCCCCCCTTCACAGCCAGGGGACTGCAGCTCTCCCACATACCCCAAGGAGCTCAGCTCTACGAGAGCCCGCAGGATGAGTTCCCTCCCGGCAGCAACTCCTGTGTCCCCCATCATCAGTAGCCTTTGTGACACACAAACCCCACGGGACTGCAAGGTTGAGGAAGGACCCCTACAGCAACGCATCCCAGCTTTCCTCAGAGGGGAACAAGGCTCATCCCATTTCATCCCAGTGCTTCAGTGCAGCACCCAGTAGAAGGGGAGCACATCCCCATGTTGGACATCACCCCAAGCCCACTAAATTGCCTGAGCTTTCACGTCTTCCCACCCCGTTTTCAGTTCTAGGGGAAGAAAAACAGGGGGTAGCCACACAATGAAAGGCTTGGAAGGGGCACAAATCCTCCACAACACAGCCGCAGAGCTCCTTG